TAACACGTTCTTCATGCTAAACACTTTATAAGAACTACTAGCAAATCAAAAAGTATTCCACGGCTATTTTTAAATAAGTTTTTACCAAGAAAAGAGAGAAGCTTTCAGCCTCTGTTATGATCTTCCTTCTCAACGACACTTTAACAAGCAACTTTACCTGTTATCAAGTGACAAAAAACACATGTGCAGCGTTTCATAGACAATTTTCAGCTGTCATCTGAAGTGAATAATAAAAATAGATCAAAACAAGTTTTATGGATGATTCTATATTGATGCACATAGAGTCGATTTTTAAAACTAATAGTTAATTTAAAAGTTAACAATTACAAAATTTCGAATTTTCAAACATGGAACACTGGTTTTTACAAGATAGTTTGGTGTTTGATACTCAAAGGGCTGCAGTTTTGTGTTTTATGTATGGGGCGTGAATTTCAACATTTAAACTGACTATTTTTAAAAACTTACTCAGAGTACATCAATACAGAATCATCTATCAAGTTCGTGATTGACTTGTTCTTATTATTCTCTTACAAGAAATAATTCATGATAGATACGTTTTCAGCTTTATTCACATAGAAAAGTCAATTTTTATACCGTTCTGAATATCCACAGTGAAATGAATTAGTCCAAATTTAACTATATCAATATTATAATTAATACCTGTAGAAGCTATTCCCAATGGGTGACTTATCACAGACTCTACTGAATGAGTACCAGAGAGTAAAGGATTAAGCAAGATTTATCATCAAAGTATAGTAATATTTCATTCTCAAGTCGTGTTGTATATTCAAAAACTGTAGAACGTGATAGTTTATGAGAATAACAAATATGTCTTCATTTTGTGTAAAACCACACATGGAAATGTAGCATTATTATGACAGATAAGATTTCCAGGATGTGTTTTGCCCAGTATGAGAACCGAGAAGATGAGTGTGAGATATCGAAAGATGAAGTCTTAATACATACTCAACGTGTTCGTTTTGATACAATATTTCCTAATTATCATGATCATTTTCGATCACGAATATCAGTTAGAATCATTATACAAACTGTAATGTCAAGAAACATAATAACTTTCTTTGTACATCTTGGGACAAGAAGAACATACAGCATTTGATTCACAATCAATACAAGTGAACGATCTACGATCGAAATAAAAAAACCTGAAAAATAGTATTACTTCTTTTTTCTGCAGAGTTGTATATTCAATGTGAAAATAAAACATGTTCAACATGATGTTTGATTATTTTTAATAGACGAGATGTTCATAAATAAGATTGAAGAATAACAAAATATATATTAAGAATCAAAAGAGCTTCTCAGAACGTACTAGAAAAAATGTACGTGTGTATTTTCAATGCAAGGCAACAGAAGGAAAAAACATACATATGGAGATGGGCATGCAAGATGATGATGCTGTAAAAATAATATGAAGAGTGATTACTTTTTGATTTACTTTATCTAAAAATTATGCTTTCTAACAATTAAACACAGAAGTAAACATATTAATTTATCCTAAATATATTACAGAGCATTAGATGACTGATGAAGTTCTTTTTTTCAGTGGAAAGGTTGTAATACAATCTGTAATTGAAGTAGTATCCATGTCTTATTGAGAAATCCTACAATGTCATTCAAATCTTAATGTTTTTCTATTTCTTCTGTACCATTGATTACAGTTCTGTTTCATGTTTACTGTAAAACATGTGTTCATTGACAAATATGTAAGAACAAACAAAAATATTTTGATACTATATATAAAAGTGAAAAATCAAGATTTATTAGTCTCTTAATATATGACACCTGGCTTAGCCTTAAATCACTCTCATAAATTGAGGACATAATGTGAATGAGAGAAAAAACTGACTTTTAATTAAAAATAGTTCATTTTTCTTATAACTGGAAATTATGACATGTTTTGGATGGTAGAACTTAATGTGCTCTATCATTGATAGAAATATCACAGCGATTGATTGTTGGTGTATGAAATACGATTGAGTGACATTTTGGGTAACAGAACAAAGAAAAAAAGGGCAAGACAGTCTTTTTTTGACATGTCAGAAGTTCTTATAGGAATGGTTTCACAAATTGAAAGGAAAGAGTTACTTCTTCTAAAGAAAACTAGCTGCAAATTGTTTAAAAAATAATATCGAAAATTCGATTAGTATTTTGATTGTTTGTATAGAAAAAAGCAAATTGGATCGAGCTGAAAATTTCAGAGAATACTAAACTCACTACTCTCTATAAGGTATCAAAAAAAACCAACGAATTCTGAAATGTCACTTCATTGTCGATGTTCTAGAATGACTTTTTTTCTCAGAATCTTAATTTTTAGTTTCTTTCGAGAAAATTAAAAATACATAGCAAAACGCTCTATTGAATTGACTCTTCTCATTCTGGAGTATATAATAACGTTTTGGCCTTGATACTAAATATCATGCTCGTTCTGTTGTTATTGACCTGTTTCTGTTCTTTTTTTGTTCTTGCACGACGACCGATAATACGAAATATGTTGTCGTCTTTGGTGCAGAAAAGGTTATACTCTCACATGTAAGAGCAGTCAAGGACAAATAAAAACACAGAAGCAGATAGCAAATACCGTCGAACGCACGTCATATATAACAACTGACAAACTCTACATATACAACGACGCATACAAACACTGTTTTTATAATTGTTCGAACGACGTTTAAGATTGGTATTGAGTTATTCATGTTGTAACAAACATGACAATACTTTCAAAAATCGTTCCTATTGGTTGGCTTGCTCATATCGGTGCATGCTTCTATCTAGTTCGACCACTTTGTAGCTTTTCATGGCGAACTTTTTTGACGATGGTACCATGCGCGATTTTGACATTCGTTGGTTGTAACAACCTTCCTCTTCTTCATATGTCGTCTATGATGATCATTGTATTCTATTGGATGATAACAATTCGTCTGTTTCATTTAATTGTACTTTCACCCAAACAAGCTCTCTCATTTCGATCATTTGTTGGTAAAATTTTCTGGTTTTTTATTCCTGTCATAGAATGCAAAGCGAAGTATTCTATCATGTTTGATATTTTCTCAGCGATCGTTAAACTTATATTAAATAATTGGATTTTTCAATGGTTTATTAATTGTGGACCGAGCGACGGTTATGACAAAATGGCCATGTTCTATGTATTTCTTTGTACAGGAACGTACGTCGTCGATGCACAAATTGCGCTCGTTCGACTCGTTACGCCCAATAAATACATTCTTGAATCATTCAATGACGTTCCATTTCTATCAAGATCTATTCGAGAATTTTGGGGTCGACGTTACAATCGAGTTGTTGGATCAGTTCTTAGAGAATCCATTTTCGAACCACTTCGTCGCTTATTCTCCTTTTCACCGTCAAGTGCTGCTCTAGCCAGTTTTGTAGTGAGCGGTCTACTTCACGCACATGTATCAATTGCTGTCTTTGGTGCATCATCGCCATTGCCTGCATTTACATTCTTTTTACTGCACGGTATCGCCTGCTGTGCAGAAGCATATTGTCCGATTGTTTTGCCCAAACCAATTGGAATTATAGTGACACATGTATTTCTTCTTCTGACAACTCCACTCTACATAGGACTATTTACACGTGCTGGTCCTGATTTCTTCGTGCTTAATGCGCCGTCATTATTAAATGTAAAATGGTTACCACAATTGCCAGTACCAAAATTTTGTCCAAAATAAGCAACAATCAAAAAGAAAACATTGTAATCGAACAGAACTTTCCTTAGTATAATAAAATAACCGTTGCCTTTTACTTGTCTCAGAGCATTAGGTTCATAGAAATCCAAGAATAACCTATTCGTTACAATACAGCTTAGTGATCGATATAATTAGGGATTAAAAAAGTAACAGTCAGAAATAGAATACAAAAACAATTTTACTTGAAAAAATCGAGGTACAACGTATCATCTATCGATGACCACTGTCATATACACTCTGTACATTCAAATTCTGAAATTATTACTGTAGTTTTTTTACTAGAACAATGGTTTATTGAATCCGTTGTTGTATTTTATCTTGATTGAGAATTTTTATGATGTCATATGTCCAAACGAATGAATTTGGTGTTTGCGAAATGGTGGCTGCATTCATCAATGAGATCGAGTCAAAGAAAATAACACGATCTGCGAATTGATTGTGCTACTTTCCATGAGGCTTCATTATCATGGACAAGCGATGAGTGCGCCTAATCACCGTCTTGGATTGCATGAGTGTAGATGTGGAAAAATAGAATACTCACACTAGCACCCACATCCAACTACGATTAGTTTCGAAAAGTTGGTAGTATTCTTTTGATAGATTTTCATTCTCAGAATTCTCAAAATTTCAATGTATCGGTTAGAACAATTTATGAATACTCGAAATTGGGACAGAGGGAGCAAATATATATATTTCAAATCTTTCGATTATTCGTCGCGTCTATCATATGCATTTCAAAATCTGCTTGGACATATATAACGTTCCGTAGGACTTGAGAATTTTCCTAGGCACGTACTTATGCACAT